AGCATGCAGTCTTGTATAGCATTATTATAACCAGATGCTGCCACCTACTGGACAGTTTACAAGTATTTTGCACAATACAGAGAAAGATTGCTGGTTACAGAAATATTTTCTTGAAAAGTCTATATATACAAATAAGGCTGATTAAAATCATTTCTAAATTTTTACACTTCTAATTAAGACTGGTATCTGAGGTTCTATAAACAAGTGGAAAGAAATTCATCTTAGTATGAAACAAATAGGAGCAGCTTCTATCATAACACTTGTATGTGGCTATCTTGAACAAAACCAGGAAGAATACGAGACTTTCAAGTCAGTACTATGTGATCAAACTGGACTCTTAAATTTTTATTCATTTCTTTCATTCTTACAGTGAAAATAATCTGCTAATGATACTTTTCTTAAGCTGCTCACTCCCAAAGTTTCCTCTTTTAGAATAAGGTAATAATTATGTAGTAGAAAATTCAAGATATTAAATTAGATTAATGGTGTTGCCTAACAATAAATATTACTTTCTTTCTCGTTTTCCAAGATCGTCAAGTTTTACTTACTTGTTTTTATTAGAAAATCAGAGCAACAGATACAAAGAGACACACTGGTTCTCTCTCCAAATGACTATAGCAGCCACTATTAGGACAGGACAAAGCCTGCAGCTCCAGCTGTGTCTTCCACATGAGTGGCAGGGACCCAAACACCTAAAGCATCACCTGCTTCCTCCAAGGCCACATTAGCAGGAAGCAGAGGAAACTGGACTTGAATCAAGCCCTCTGATACGGGATGCAGGCATCGCATGCAGCAGCTTACCTACTATGCCACTACACCCGCCTCTCTTCCTGAGATTTCAGAAAATCACATACATGGGTTGATAAGCCACTGCTAAACATGGCTATGATGTAAACAGAAACTTTCATTAATGAATTGGCTTTTCTGTAAAATAAAACAGTGATCATAAAAAGTAAATCTGAAGAAGAGGAATATAAGAAAGTCTCTATTTTGGAGAACTGCTGAACTGTCAATTAATCAAGACTGCAAACAGCAAGCACAAAAGACAACAGACATCTGATTCGCCTGACACTAACTTTTATTACCATCTCCTGTTACAATGACCCAATTTTTGCATCTACTATGTTCTCCATATACTTTTAAGATATAATAACTAGGAATGTGAAATCTACAAAGTGAAACAATGCTTAGAGCAGATTCTCTGGGCATATCTTTCTAGTTTCAGTTTTCTGTTCACTAAGTCTGCTTAATTTCTATGCTAGAATAACAGTAATGTAACACTATTATAGGTACACACAGTTGTTCATGCCCTCACTGAAAAGGAGCAATGATGAACAGCAGAACCATAATCAACACCACAGACATAACAGCTGCTTCAGTGTACACAATTCTGATGGAGAAACTCAGGCAAGGCAAACCTTCTCTCCGTGAGTGCCAAGACTGTTGCACTCAAATCAGCTACAGACGAGAGCAGAGGTTTCAACTGAAAGCTGAAGCACTTTCCTTCAAAGAACATTAACAGGAGATGAAAACACAGCTCTACCTAAAATCAAATAAAGTAATGTCTACCAAGAGGTCAAAATTACCTCATCATAGCAAAAGCAGACAGTCTTGAGCAAAAGTCATGAACAGTATTTTGGGATACTCAAGGCATTTTGCTTTTGAGTTTTTGGAAGGCCAAAGAATGATAATAGTTAGACATTATGAGTTTTTTAAATTATCCAAAGCTTTGGTAGAAAAATGCTCAAAGTTTTACCAGAAACTGATACTTTCTCTATTGTGACAATGCATCTCTCATTCCTATCATCCAGGAAACTCCAACAGGAGATGCCATTTATCACAAATGATGGCTTAAACCCTTTGTGACACAATGTTTGCCATCTATTATTTTAATTAATGTAGTCATTGCTAAATTTGGGAGAGAAAAATAGGTTTGAGAATGTTTTATTTAAAAAAAAGTAAAAAACAAGACATTATACTACCCTAATAAAATATCTTACAAAACTACAATTATCTAAATAGTATGTCTCTAGCATTAGCACAAAAAATTATAGCAATAAAAGAAAAACTTGATAGTAAATCTAACTATTACACAATAAACAGAATTTCAAATAAAGGAGGGAGTTGCGGATTATACTATAAAGTGTCTTGGAATAAATGACTAGCAAATTTTGGGGAAAAAAAAATAAACCAGGAGCTGGCACTTTGATTGCTGGGTAAAACCACAGCCTACAGCACCACCATCCCGTACAGGCACTGGGTTGAATCCTGGCTGCTTTACTTCCAATACAACACCTTGAAAGTAGCAGAAAATGGTCCAAGTGCTTGGGCCCCTGCACTTACATGGGAGACCAAAAGAAACTCCTGGCTCCTGACTTCAAACCAGTCCAACCCCAGCTATTACAGCCACCTGAAAAGTGAACCAGCGGATGTGAGATCATTCTCTCTGTCTCTCCCCATCTGTAACTGTGCCTTTCGAGTAAATAAAATAAATTTTTTAAAAGACAAAAATTAAATCAACTTTCTATACTGACAGCAAAATACATTATAAGTATATTAACATATAATATTGTCATAAGATAACTATATTAAATAGGAACATGCAGGCATATTTTAATATAGTTATACATTTAAAAGGCCTTGGCACAAGCATGAACTGGGGCTGCATACACCTAGCCGGGCTAGACACCAGTACCATCTGGTGCTCTGGAGAACCTGCATAGATGTAGGACGAACTAGGCTAGGTCTCTGCCCCTACTGAACCATGTGTGAGCCGTGTTTGGGTATGGACAAGCCTTGGCTGGGCTGAAACAACCAACAGTAAGAACCAGAATGGATTGAAGGCCACAAGAAAAGGCCACTGTTCCTACCAGGACAGGAGGTAGACTAAGTAGGGCTGGCCCATGGACTCATCAGTATGCGCAAAATCTGGCAATAGGGAGAGGTTCTGATGGAGGAGCTTGGGAAACTCCTCTGTCGGGACACAGTCCCTGCGGGTGAGCACAAGAACCATGACAGAGGGAGCAACCCAGACCAGGCCAGAGGAAGACACCCACTGGCATACATTTGGCATAGGTGGGGGGCAGACCAGGCTGAACCCATTCACACCACCCGCTGGCGAATCCGAGCACCAGAACACAGTGTGGGTCAGGCCAGGTTTGGTCGCAACACAAACCAGTGCACATTACGGAATGCCAAGGTGAGGTAAGCCGTATCAAATGTGGCTGCAACACCCAAACAGCACACATGAGAACTAGGGAGGGAGGGGGCAAAGCCGGCAGAGGGAATGTGGGCTCCCCTGCTGGACAACTACTCCCATTGGAGAGTGTGAGTTGGGAGGGGGGCAGACCAGACCAGGCAGGGCTACAACACCTGTGGGCCTCATGTGAGCTAGATCATGGAAAAGCCAGGTTGGGCTGACTGTTCCAACTGGTACAAACAAAAATTAGAGTGGGTGAGGGCTGGTTGGGCTTTGCCACAGCATCAGCTGGCACAGGCTGGCACTGGGGACTAAATCTGTCAAGTTAAACTCCAGAACCACCTGGAGAGTGCATAATCTGGGAGTGGGAATGCCCTAGTAGGGAAATAGTGGGCAGCTCCCTCTTGGGTTACCACTCCCACTGGAAAGCATGAAAACCAGGACAAGGCAGGGGTGGCTAGACAGAGTGGCACCCACCAGTATGTGTCTGGGCTGGATAGTAGGGCTGGTTGGGTTGAATTAGGCTTAAATGCCCATTGACATGTATAAGAGCTAAATGGGATGTGCGACAGACTAAACAAGTCTGCGGTACATAGTGGCAAGCATGGGAACCAGGGTAGGGGACTGGCCTGGTAGGGGTTATAGGGAGTCACCCCAACTATGCTGCAGCTGCCACTGATTTGCATGAGGGCCGAGTATGAAGTAGGAAGGATCAGGTTGGACTTTAACACCCATTGGTTCGCGTGGAAGACAGAACTGACCCAGCAATTGCAATAACCAGCATGTGCATAACCAGATTGGGCCGACGGACAGTGCCATATCCTGTACTGGCAAGCACACACAAGAATCAGGTCTGGGATTACCTCAGACGAACTTTCTTTGGAGATCCCTCCAACTGAACTGCTGATTTCAGAACCCCAAACATAAAGAGACTATGTCAGCCAGTGGATTCTGAATAGATTTCATCGTTATCGGAACAGCGAGATTGGCAGCAATTCAGAACTCTTGAACTATCAAAACTGCTTGAGCAGGACCCTCAGAACATACTCTACATCGCAGACCTGGGGTGGGAGGCTGGGTGGAGCTTCCCCCTTCATTTCTCCTCTGACCCCAGATAGAGGGGAAAAACAATAAACAGAATTTTATATTAGTGTGGAAACAATGGTCTTACTCACTTTCCTATAGCCCTTGGCCCTTTGTACTCTCATCAATTATTATCAAATAATAATAATAAAGAAAGAAAAAACACTTTTTTTAGGTATATTAAGAGGTATACATCCCAATAATATTTGTTCCAAAAAATAATACTCACAAATACACACATACAGCAAGGGTTGGGAGTAGAAATATGATGTATAATTATTTGGCTAGTCTCAAAAAATAAAACTGTGAGAGAACAGGAAATAAGTCAAATCAGTAGTGAATGCTGATGCCAGAGGTTGCCAAGGCCTCAGAGATATGCGGTGAGAGGATTCTGAGCAAGATGGGACTCTACAAAACCAGCATCCAGAATGATCTAAGAGAGATAGCATGTGAAGAGACAAACAAATGCAGTCTGCTTTCCAAGTTTCTCCTTCCTTGTCCCCTTACTCTTGAGGAGATTCAAACTCTCAAAGACATTGAAACATACCCAAGGTCAGAGTAGTTCCATACACTCCTACCTAATGAAAATAACCGCTTTACTTAAGCAACAGGCAAATGTACAAGGAAAAGCAGGGGTAAGGGAAGGCAAAGATCAGAGTGGGAGCATTCGTTTAATCCCAATATTCTATGACTAAATTAAAGATTTCTGTCTACTCACCATGCATTTCTTCAGACGCAGCCGTCAAAGACAAAAACTTTTTGGTATTTTCAATCTCCTCATTACTTTGGAATGCTTCAGCTTTTTGTGCAGACTATTGAAATGAAAATTAACATTTAAACTTGGGGAAAAAAAGCAACTTGATTTTTTCTTCAACGCCAAAATGGTTCCCAATCATTGACATGCAAACAAAACTGTTCGGCCATTTATATTCATCAAATCAGGAAGTCAACTCATTTAACCTGTTTAATCTATAAAAGTCTGTCCACAACTAGAGTTGAAGTACAAGCCTATCATTATGATAGTTACCTTTCTTAAACTACCTTACATTCCTATTGATAGAACTAAGAAACATGACCTGATCAAAATTTTAGATATTTTATCCATTGCTGCATTTTTAATATTTCATAATAATTCCTTTTTAAAAATTATTCACTTATTTGAAAGTCAGCTACAGAGAGAAAGAGACAGAGATCCTTCCTTGATGGGCTCACTCTCTAAGTGGCCAGGGTGGAGCCAGACCAAAGTCAACAGCCAGGAGTTTCTTCCAAGTCTCCTATGAAGTTGGCAGGGGCCCAATCACTTGGGCCATTTCCTGCCTTTTCCCCCAGACCATTAGCAAGGAGCTGGATCAAAAGTAGGAGGAGGGCACGGGGAGGGGTTGGGGGAATCCCAGAGCTTATGAAACTGTGTCACATAATGCAACGTAACTAATAAAAAAAAAAAGTAGAGTATCCAGGATTCAAACCACTGCCCATATGGGATGACGATTATGCAGAGGGCAGCTTTACCCACTATGCCACAGCACCATCACTACAAATAATTCTTGTTTTAAGGGAAATAAAAGTCCTATGATGTTTACTTCAAATCCTGGCTGCTCCACTTCCAATCCAGCTTCCTGCTAGTGGGAAGCCTGGAAAGACAACAGAGAATGGCCCAAGTCCTTGGGCCTCTGTACCCATGTGGGAAGCCTGGAAAAAGCTTCTGGCTTGGGCTGATCAAGCTCCAGCTGTTACAGCTATTTTCAGAATTAATCAGTGGGCAGAGTATCTCTGTATGTATTTCCATCTCTCTAGAAAAACTTTCAAACAAATCTTTTTAAAAGAAACTCAGTAGGAAAAAGTGATAAATTAACTTCAAATGCTAAAATTTACAGAAGTTATTTCTTTCATAAAAAGCACTTCATTGTGGATATTGCTTTCTTTCCATCCTGTCTTTACTTTCCAACAGTTTTCCTGGGAACCTTGTAAAAACATATTCTTAATTACTTCACTCATAACTCATGTCACTGCCTTGGAAATTTCCTCTGAAGTCAGTTAAATGAACAAAGACGACTTTTATCAGAAATAAGCAATGTGTTATTACAAGGTTCCTTACCTCAGATGTGTTCCCCTTTGAGATGTAAAAACCAAACCTGAGCCAATGACTGCACATCAAGTCAGTGCTCAACACCTTACACACAGAAAAGAAGGGGTCCAAGAAGGCCAAGGACAGTTAATTGAGCATGAGAAACACGTTGAGACAGAAACAAATACAGCATGCCCTCAGCCCAAACCCTTTATGGCTTCCTAAAGAGATCTTAACCTGACACGGCAAAGTAAACTCCCCAACTTGTTTGTCACTCCAGTAATAATATGAACGAGAGTCTTACATGCTTGTGTATTTGTCTGTTTATAAAGAAACAGCAGATCCACAGAACTGATAAAAGTAGTGACCCCACACCTTCCTACTCCAGAAATGAGGAAGCCTCAGGCTGGCAGAGCTAAGGATGGTCAGCAGAGTCTGTTCACAGGGAAATGAACCCACCAGCACAGTGTCCAGAATCAGGAACACCTCCTGCAGCCCCACAAAATGTCACTGTTGATGAGTGTATACACACACACACACACATACACATGCACAGCCCCCTCTATCACCACCTCCACAGAAGGAAGTCACTGAAGGTGAACCACGTGAACATTCCAGACTCTCCTTACTCATCCAGAGAATCCTCATTGTTACATGTTGGCATATGGCCACACATTTCTTACCTTAAGGTCCTCCCACAGCTTTATTCTCATTTCTAGACCTTGCTTCTTAACTTCCTTTTCTCTACATCGCCTCTTTGCCAATATTTTATCAAGTCGCTTCATCTTAGAAATAGCATCTTGGAGTTGAGAATCTTCTTCTTTTAATTTCAGTTTATCTAAATTGTGTCAAACAGATGAATGGGTTTTAAGTTTAATAAAATTATAAAAATTGTATTTTGTTTTATTATTCTTCCATTCAATAAAAATGGAAGGCTGATGGTAGTAACTACACAGGTGTCACATCTCCACATTTAGGAGGTATTTTTGCAGATTTCATATAATTACTCATGATAAACAGCCACTTAGGTCTATTTTACAGGCAAATAATTGAGCCCATTCACATGGCTAGTATACTTTTGAGCTCAAAAGTCGATCTCTTATGACTGACTCCAAATTCCCTCCCCCTCGTTCTATACTTACTCATGATTAACAAGCAGAAAATAAAGAAGACATAAGTCCTATCCTAAAGCTGCTACAGACTTACTGAAAGAGAAAATAAGTCCACAAAGAGCTACAGTAAGAAAAAAAAAAAGTAGTATGTCAAAACTGACATACAGTGTATTCAAGGTGTAGGGGAAAAAAGCAAACAAGTACTTCACACAGCTACACATGATATTTCACATCCCTCCCATTTGTCCTCATTTGGTAAAGTTCCTGAAGACACTCTTCAGTTGTAGATAACAGATAGTAACTTAAGTGAAATGAAGGGTTCTACAAAACATCTACCATTTAAGTTTTGACATACAAGTTAGTGATAATGAAAAATCTTGACAGCTACATTACATGGCTATTCTGATTATAGTTTCACTGTAACAGTCCTTGACATCAGATATTTTTATGACCCAGCTTTATTTTTATTGCTTAGAAATGGTCTCAAGGTGTGTTGTGATTTCACATCCATTTCAGGGTCACTTTTCCCAGTTATGAGACCATCTTTGGTGTTTTCACTGGGATCACATGAATTCTGTAAATTGCTCCAGGTAATATGGACATTTTGATAGTCATTTGATTATATTAATTCATGCAATATACACACGTAAGTTTTCCTTTTTCCTGCATGCCTTCTATTTCTTTCCTTAATGTTTTATAATTTTCATTGTAGATATCTTTCACATATATGATTATATTAAACCCAAATTATTTCAATTTTTTGTACCTTTTGGGAATGGCACTAATTCTACAAGTTCTTTCTCAACCATGACACTGTTTATACATACAAAGCATATTAATTTTTGTGTGTTAATTTTATATTCTGCAACTTTGCCAAACTCTTAGTGTAGTCTTCTGAGTCCCCTATAGATAGGATCACACCATCTGCAAATAGAAACAGCCTGACTTCCTCCTTTCACATTTGCATTCTTCAGTTCCTTTTTTTCGCTCTGGCTAAGACTTCCAGAACTATACCGAATACTAAATGGAAATCCTTCCAGTTTTTCCCCATTTAGTCTGATACTGGCTGTGGGTTTGTCATGTACTACCTTGATTGTTCTGAGGTATGCTCCTTCTATCTCCAATTTGGCTAAAGCTTTTATCATAAAATGATGTTGAATTTTAGAAAATGCTTTCTCTATACCCATTGAAATAAACATATGCCTTTTATTCTTCAACTTCTTAATGTGATATATCACATTAATGATTTGCAGATGCTGAACCAGCCCTGTTGTGTACCAGAGACAGATCCCACTGTAGTTCAGGGGTATGATCTTTCTGATGTGCTGTTGGATTGATCAGTTATTATTTTGGTGAGAATTCTGGATCAGCAGTGGAGCAGCTAGAACATTAACCGATATCCATATGGAATGCCAAAGCCACAGGCAGAGGCTCAGCCTACCAGTCCATGATACTGGCTGGCACCTTTCATCAAGGTAACTGATCTGTAGGAGCTTTACTTTTTTTAAGATTTATTTATTTCTATTGGAAAGGCAAATTTAGAGGGGAAAGAGAGATAAAGAGAAAGATTTTCCATTTGCTATTTCATTCCCCAAATGGCTGCAATGGCTGCAGTTGAGGTGATCTGAAGCCAGGAGCCAGGAGCCTTCTCTGGGTCTCCCACATGGGTGCAGAGTTCCAAGGTCCTGGACCATCCTCCACTGCTTTCCTAGGCCACAAGCAGGGAGTTGGATTGGAAGTAGAGCAGCCAGGACATGAAATGGCATCCATATGGGATCCTGGCACTAGCAAGGAAAGGATTAGCCAACTGAGCCATTGCACTAGGCCCTGGTCTACAGTTTTCTTTCTTTACCATATCTTTCTTGCTTGAACTAAGGTGATGCTGGCCTTACAGAAGGGGTATGAGAGGGCTCCCTCAATTCCTTTTAGTTGTTCTGAATAGCAGAAATGAATTGGAATTAGTACTTTTTCAGAGTTTAGTAGAATTCAGCAGTGAAGCCATCCAGTACTGGAGTTTTCTTTGTTGGCAGAATCTTCATTACTGATTCAATCTGTCTTGATTATTGGCCTACCTAGGTTTTCTGTGTCTTCCTCATGACTCTATTTTTGTAGACTGCATTTGTCTAAAAATCCATCCATTTCTTCTTTATCTTCCAATTTACTGGTATATAGCTATTTCTAGTAATTTTTGATGATTCCTATTTTTCATGATACAGTTCCATAGGCTCAGAGATTTCCCCTTCCACCTTCCCATTTCTACTCCCCCCAAGTGATTTCCCCTATACTATTACAATAGCATAGTCCTTCAACAATAGGATAGTCACAAGTCCATTATTCTATTTAAGTGTATCATGACTTCGCAGACATATATAATGTTGCAAAGTCCAACTGTCAAGATATATTTAAATTTCACTGGGAGTCCATCTTTTATTCAGGAGTAGAGATGCATACTGTAATGTTTTCCCTTCTAAGTATGCTAGTCTTCATTATACAGTTCCTCTAACATATGTACATACATGCTTTCTTATATAACTGTTGATCTTGTATTTTGCATGAAGTTTACCTTATATGATAATTCTTTTTGTTTCTGTGATATCCACTATTGATACCTCTATTTTCATTTCTGATTTTGTTAATTTGAGTCTTTCCTCTCTCCTTTTTTGGACAGTTGAGCCAATGAGTTGCCGATTTTCCTTATTTTAAAAAAGCAGCTATTTATTTCATTGATTATTTGAATCTTTTTGAGATGGGTTCAATTTTTGTTTATTTCTTCTTTAATCTTAATTATTTCTTTCCTCCTGTTAATTTGGGATTTGGTTTGTGCTTGAAGTTTTCAATATCTCTATTAATAGAAAACAGCTTGACCCTCATGACTGCTTCCAGAGCCAATCTATTGTAACATGCCAGTTTGGTGGAAGCAAATACAGAAAATCTGGCTTTTCAGAGTTATACAAGGTTAAATAAACATAACATCCTACTCAGATAATTGAATATTCATCTTCGATAATACACCTAATTTGAGGTGTCATTAATTTTATTGGAAAGAGAGATTTACAGAGAGCAGAGACAAATCTTCCATCCACAGTTCACTTCCCAAGTGGCCACAATCAGAGTTGAGCCATCCCAAAGCCAGAAGTCTCCTCCAGACCCCGCACGTAGGCAGAGGGGCTTTGGGCTGTCCTCAACTGCTTTCCCTGACCACAAGCAAGGAGCTGGATGGGAAGTGAAGCAGCCAGGACACAAAGCAGAGCACTTAGGAAATCCCAGCGTGGGTAGGGCAAGGATTTAACCATTGAGCCATTGGGCCAGCCCCGACGCACATATCTTTAAAAAAAAAAAAAAAAGTTGTAATGTGAAATCTATAACCTCATCAGTGTGATTTCTACATTTTTTTCTATTAAAACCCATGGTTCTATCTTCCATCTTGTATGGTTCTTTTCTCCTGCACTGGTTATCTAACTGCTGGTTCACTGAACTACATAGACATAAGTAATGTTAACATTTCATTATACAACATTAGGAAATAACACTTATTAATACTGACACCAATTTCTATCAGAAGAGCCTAAATAGCAAGCTAACAAACTCACAGTGACATACACCATCTTTTCAAATATTCTGATCCTAAACATAAAAATTCAGACTTCACCATTGGTAAAACATACCATCTGCATAAGCCTGTCAAATACTCCAGGTAGTTTTTTCTTTCAATTCTCTTTCCAATAAAAACTGGTAGTCCATTTTAAAGCAGACAGTCCTAAGGCTAGTATTTTGGCTTAGAACGTTAAACCACTCTCTGTGACACTGGCATGCCATATGGTCATCAGTTCAAGCCCTGACTGCTCTGTGTCCAATCCAGCTCCTTGCAGCAACTGGACAGGCAACATAAGATGGCCCAAATGTTTGAGCCCCTGCCACCCAGGTAGGAAACCCAGATGGTGTTCCATGTTCCTGGTTTTGTTCTGGTACAGTCCTATCACAGTCATCTCAAGAATGAACCCATGGATGGAAGAGTTCTTTCTCTCTAAATAAAAGCAGCAGTTCAGGCTCTCAAACTGGCACACAAATACTTGCCCTCCTCACAACTGTCACACTTTGGTGTACAGCACAATTGCTTTATGTATTTTTCCCAGTTGGCCCCAGGGGACATGAAGAAGATAAATACCCCAGAGCCCAGATTTTACGGTATCAATAATTCTTACTGCCTCACCAAGAACATCCTTGGGTGTCACTGAGTAGTTCTTTATCCTGCCACTACCTGCTTGCAAAAAAAGCAAGGATGCCAGTAAAACATACTGCCACTAATCCATGTGAAGGCATCAGCAATCCTGTCCATCATTACTGTCACTCCATTAATGCAAATATCAACACCATGGACGAACAGGCAAAAAGCACCTCGGTGTCATTTTGAAAATGGTGTTGAACCTACAGAACCTCTGAAAGTGCTCTGCAGATCACATTTTGAAAACCACTGTTATAACTCACTCTGCTCAGAAATGATTCAATAGCATCAAGAAAAAGTAGTCTTTCAAATTCCAAATGTCACTGAGTGGGACTGTCCCTAAAACGGCATTTTAAAATTCCAGAAAAGGGGCCCGGCGTGGTGGCGCAAGTGGTTAAAGGTCCTCGCCTTGCACGCCCGGGATCCCATATGGGCGCCGGTTCTAATCCCGGCAGCCCCGCTTCCCTTCCAGCTCCCTGCCTGTGGCCTGGGAAAGCAGTCGAGGACGGCCCAAAGCTTTGGGAACCTGCACCCGCGTGGGAGACCCGGAAGAGGCTCCTGGCTTCGGATCGGCATAGTATCGGCCCGTTGCACTCACTTGGGGAGTGAATCATCGGACGGAAGATCTTCCTCTCTGTCTCTCCTCTCTGTATATCCGCCTTTCCAATGAAAAAATAATAAAAATAAATCTTTAAAAAATAAATAAATAAATAAAATTCCAGAAAAGCATCTTAATGTACACTTTTGTCATCAACTACATCAATAAACTATGATATTAAATGTTGAAATATTCCCTACTGAATTTATGTAAAATCACCACAATTATAATTTTAAGAAACGATAAATGTTGTTATATTTCTAAGTGCATTTAAGGACTCTTCTTAAGAGATTTATTTATTTTATTTGAAAGAGTTACATAGACAGACAGAATCTTCCACCAATTGGTTTACTCCCAAATGGTCACAACAGCCAGAGCTGGGCTAATCTGAAGCCAGAAGCTTCTTTCGGGTTTCCATGTGCGTGCAGGGGTCCAAGGCACTGGGCTCTCCTCCATTGCTTTCCCAGGGATATTTGCAGGGAAGTGGATGGAAACTGGAGCAGCCATAATTCGAACTGATGCCTATATGTGAGCTGGCACAACAGGCAGAGTATTAACCTGAAATACCACAGCACAGGGCCCCTTCGTTTTTTTGGACAGGACTCTTAATATTCTCAGAAATAACTGCTTGCTCACACAAGTAATGTCCTTGGTGGGGGGAAGCTTATTATTTCTGCTCAGTCAATAAAAACACACGTGGTTCCAATATTTTAAACAGAACATCTATAAATTATCATTAGCCAAACATCTAAGGATTTTCCTACCTGAACATTCAGGGATTATCTGACATTGAACCAACTCCAAATCATCATCTGAGCCCTCTTTGTCCAGTTTTGTTTCCTCAGGGAAGCTTTCTCCACCCTCATTGTTACTTTCTCTTCTTCCCTCCGTATCACTGTTTTCTGATTGGTCTTCTTCACCAGAGTTCAGCAACTTGATCGCAGTATCAACCTAAAAATAAGTGTCAAAAACAGAACTTTGTAGAAAGGAATCTATTTCTTGAACTATACATGTCTAGAATATTTTAGCACTAGAAGAAGCATATGTGGGGACTTTGCAGAAAGGAATATTTTACAGCAAGGAATCTGTTTCTTAAACTATACACTTCTAGAATATGTTAGCACTAGAGGAACCACATATGTGGGGACACACAGATACATATGCTATCATTCAAGCACTCAGGAGGGATGGGCATTTGGTACAATAGTTAACAAACCATTGTAGATATCAGCAAACCACATTGGAGCGCCTGGACTTGAGTCTTAGCTCTGTTCTAACTCTAGCCTGCTGCTGGAAGCTGTGCTATCCAATATGACAGCTGATGCAGCCCCTGGGAAACAACATGATGGCTCAAGAAGTTGGGTCCCTGGTACCCTTATGGAAGACCTGGAATGAGTTCCCAGATCCTCAGGTATTTGGGGAATAAACCAGCAGATGGGAGATTGTGTGTGTGTGTGTGTGTGTGTGTGTGTGTGTGTGTGTGTGTGTGTGTACATATTGCCAGGTAATTTTTTTTAATTTGTGATTTATTTATTTGAAGGCATAGTTACAGAGAAGGGAAAGACATAGAGAAAGAAATCATCCATTTGCTGATGCATTCCTCAGTGACAGCAACATCCAGGGCCAGGCTAGGCTAAAGCTAAGAACCTGAAACTCGATCCAGGTTTTCTCCTTGAGTGACAGTTCCAAGCATGTGGCCCATGTTTTTCTGCTTTCCTAGGCACACAAGCAGGGTACTGGAACAGAAGTAGAGAGGTTGGAACTTTAATCTGTGCTCACATGGATGCCAGCATTGCAAGTAAAAGCTTAACACACTGCACCACAATGCTAGTCCCAAAATAGATTTTTTTTTTCAAAAATTTGTGTGCTAGAAGCTCAGAACTGATCAGGTTACAGTATCCATCAACATATGTGTGGCTCAGGCCTGGAGGTAGGCCAAACTGGGTCAGTTCATAAAACCCACTGACAGATCTGAGAACCAGGATAGGGTGTGGGACAGGCCGGGTCAGGCCACAGTATCAGCCAGTAAACATTAGGGCTAGGACTGGGGGCTGGCTGGGCCAGGTTGGGTGGCAATACTTACCAGCATGAGCTAGAACTGATGGCAGACCAGGCCAGACCAGGCTATAGCACCCACTAGCAAATGCTGAGGTAAGATGGGCCATGCCAGACTGGGTTGCTGCACCCACCAACACATGTAAGACCCGGCGGGTACAGGGGAGGCGCAAGCCTGGTAGGGGGACTGTGGGGACCCTCCTGCTAGGCCACTGCTCCTGCTGGTAAGTGTGTGAGCTGGGACCGGAGAGCAGACCAGGCTGGGCAGGGCTACAATACTTGTTGGCCTACATGTAAACTGGGAAAGCTAGGCTGGACTAATTGGTGCAGACTGGTTGGGCTTTGCTGCAGCATCAGCTGGCAAGTATTGGGACAGGGGGCAAGTCCTGTTGAGCCAAACTGCAGAACCAGCTGGACAGTGCAAGATCCAGGACTGCGAGTAGGTCCAGTAGGGAAACTGTGGGCACCCTGATGGGCTGCAACTCCCACTGGTGAGCATGAGAACCAGGACTGTGAGCAGGCCTGGATAGACAGGTGGAGGCACTGCTGGCATGAGTGTGGGATAGAGGGTGGAGTCAGCTGGGACGAGTTAGGCTTCAACACCCAATTATTTGTATGAGAGCTGAACAAGAGGTGGAACAGACCAGATCAGTCCACTGCACATGCTGGCAGCACAGAAATCAGGACTGGAGGCCAACCCAGTGGGGGTTACTCTGACTGGGCTGGAGCTCCTAACTGTGTATGTGAGGGCCAACTGTGTGGAGGGCAGGGTTGGGCTGGGCCACAAAACCCATTGGTTTGCTTAAGAAATTGGGCTGGAGATAGATCTGACCCAGCAATCACAATCACCAGAGTGGACATAGGCTGATGTGGGTGACAGAATGAACTTGACCCCATGCAGGCAGGCACACACAGAGATATGTCTGAGATCACCTCAAACGATATTACTTTGAGAGTCCCTGCAACTAAACCGCTGGACTCATAACTCCAACCATGGGGAGAATGGTAGGACCTGTGGTCTGACCAGGGAGCACAAGTGTCAGAACTGGACCTTCTCAGCATCTTTGACGGAGAGTGGACGGCATACCCAGAGGCACATGAAGGATATGTCAGACCACTAGAGCCTGCAGAGAACACCTGGTACCACAGCAGAGGAAGGAAAGCAGAACCAATTGGTCAACTACCCCAGTGAAGGATGACAGCAAATTTCTGAGCAAACAGAGACTCAGAGGTGGACTGTGTCAACCAATGGACCCTTGAAGGATATCGTCATCCTTGCATATGCGAGACTGACAGTAGTGGAACCCTCGGAGCAGCCTCCACATCAAGGACTTTGGAATGACATCGGGTGGCCATTCCCCATCTCTGGGGGCTGAGGCAGTTGGGAGGCTGAATATGGCTTCTCCCTTTGTCTCTCCCCTACCCTAGATACAGGAAGAAAGAAAAGAAAATGTGGAAACAAAGGTCTCACCCATTTTCCCCTAATCCTGGACTCTTCCCACCCTAATCAACTATGTAAACATCATCAAAAATAAAATTTAAAAAAATACACTGTGGGCCCGGCGCGGTGACGCAGTGGTTAAGGTCCTCGCCTTGCACACCCGGGATCCCATATGGGCACTGCTTCTAATCCCAGAAGCCCTGCTTCCCATCCAGCTCCCTGCCTATGGCCTGGGAAAGCAGTCGAGGACAGCCCAAAGCCTTGGGACCCTGCACCCACGTGGGAGACCCAGAAGAGGCTCCTGGCTTTGGATCGGCAGAGCATAGACTGTTGCGCTCACTTGGAGAGTGAATCATTGGACGGAAGATCTTCCTCTCTGTCTCTCCTCTCTGTATATCCGCCTTTCCAATAAAAAATAAAAAATAAATCTTTAAAAAAATACACTGCAACTAATCACGCTACAATTTAGTATAATTTAATCTACACATACCCCAATTTGGTATAATTTAACCTACACACAATTATATTTGACAATATTTAAACTGGAGAAATATGCACCATTGTTCACAACCTCCAGCAATAGTACAGCAGGCACCATCCAAAATGACAGTGACTTGTCTCATGTGGTCACTGGACAGCGGCAAAGAGGCCAGGCCAAATGGAGATATGCTGCTAATGAGTGTCTTCCCATCAGAATCATAGGCTTTGGTAATTTATTTTCATGTTATTCACAGTTTTCTATTTCATTTTTGGATTCCCTTTACATTGGCTAAGTTCATTTGGAAAATAGAGTTGTGTTTTCACAGAGTAAAAAAGGATATTCATGGCTGAATCGGAACCAACAGAGATCATGGGGCCCTCATTTGTGCCCTCAGCAGAAGCAAGCACAGCCCAAAGGAACAGCAAGACCTCAGAGACAGTGTCAGCCACTTCTCAAAGAGGGCTTCCCTTCTCAACAAACAGACTGTGGCTGGCCTCAGCCTTTGGCATGCTCCCTGTCCTCTGTACACCAACATACTCAATGCTGCACTACTGCACTTTGCTTTCGCCTTGGGAATCTCCAGGGCAGAAGATGAGAGGTGCTAAGAATTCAACTGACAGGAATACAGTTCATTGGGCAAGCATCTCTTTGCCTGAACCAAGATATAAACCCAGTGGAACTGCACTGAGTCTATAGTGTAGCAATGATATCTACCACTTGTTGAAGAATTGCTATCAGTCTGTCCTGTGTTAGGCACCTTCCACCCATTGCCGCATTCAGCCTCTCAATGACCCTGTGCCACAGGTATTGCCAGGCCAATATAACAGTGAGGAAAACAGATCCAGAAGAGAAGGAAGCTAGCGAAAATCCAGCTTTTAAGTAAGTACAATAGTACCTACTTTATGTATTCTTGAGTTGTTTTAAAAAAAAAAGATTCCTTGTTCAAAAACAATTATTTAAATACTTATTTTTACTTGAGAGGGACATTTCCAGAGAGAAGGAAAGACAGAGAGAAAAATCTTCCATCCACTAATTCACTCCCCAGATAGTCACAACAGCTGGAGCTGAGTTGATCTGAACCCAGGAGCTTTTTCCAGGTCTCTCACATGGGTGCAGGGTCCTAAGGACTTGGTTCATCTTCAACTGCTGTCCCAGGCCATAAGGAAGGAGCTGGATTAGAAGTGGAACAGCCACAACATGAACCGAAGCCCACATGGAATTCCAGCACTTGTACGTGGAAGATTAGCCTGTTGAACCACCATGCTGGCCACTGAAAAACAATCTTATTGAAGGTCTGAAAGGGTCTAAAATCCCACAATATCCAGTTAGTCCTCTAGGCCATCTGGTTCTACAGAAATGCTACAATTTCTGGGAAAAGTTCCATCAGTCACTTACATGTTGGGCATAAGTGAAGGCAGCAGCCCTTTCTCTGGACAAGTGTTCCAGACGAGGGAACTGACAATATACAAATGGTAACCAGATGGTGGTAACATACTTGGACAGCATGCTTCTGATTATACAAAGACCTTTCACTCCTAACATTCCACATGATTCTGACTCAGAAGGAATAGAAAACAATGAGTCAAAAGGATGAAACTGAAGAACTACAGACAAACTTCACAGTTAACCAATAATTCCTCACTAACTAGGTATCACCCAGCTTCCCCATCCCACTGCCCACTGGACTCTGTGCCCTATTCCTTCTGCCCTTCTACTCTGTCGGCTTACATGCCTGATTCTTCTTTCTTCTACACTCTCAATACCATACCCCCACCTCCAGTTGTCATTGTTCCATGATCTCCACTTCATATCTGCAGAAAAGGTAAATACCCCAGGAAAACCCTTCCCAACAATTAGAGTAAATGGAAATTTTGCATGAAATGCAATTATTGGCTATTTGGGGGGAAAATATTAATAAGCCACAATAAACCAAAAATTTAGAATGAAACACATTACTACAGAAATTTCAGTAAAACTCCAGCTTTTTTGTTTGTTTGTTTGTTTTTTAAAGATTGATTTTATTTTTATTGGAAAGGTGGATATACAGAGAGGAGAGACAGAGAGGAAGATCTTCTGTCCAATGATTCACTCCTCAAGTGAGCACAACGGCCGATACTATGCCGATCCAAAGCCAGGAGCCTCTTCCAGGTCTCCCACGTGGGAGCAGGGTCCCAAGGTTTGGGGCCGTCCTCGACTGCTTTCCCAGGCCACAGGCAGGGAGCTGGATGGGAAGCGGAGCTGCTGGGATTAGAACCAGTGCCCATATGGGATCCCGGGCGTGCAAGGTGAGGACCTTAACCACTGCGTCACCGCGCCGGGCCCAAAAACTCCAGCTTTTTAAAGTCATTTTTTATTCTGCATAAACCTGTATTAGGAATCTACTGGAAAGCATATCTCACAATAAAACTAACCAAAATAAGACTTATTATTCCAACAATAGGTGAGGCTTCATAAACACTGAAATCTCCACCACCAGCAAGGAGCAGATAGTATATTTGTAGGCTCTTCCCCAATATGAGGTAGACCTTAGAAATTGTCCGTGAATTTTTGATTAACAAAAAAATCACAACTTATAGAAAATTTTGCATTCAATGTAACTATTAAAGTCTATGTTGGCTAATAAATATGTTAAGTTTGATCTGAAGCTTTGGAACTTCCAATGAAATGACTTTAAGTGATCACTGACATCTTTCTTTTAAATAAGTGTTAAATGAAGGAATATTCTGTGTATTAAACATGTGTCAGTATCATAAACATGTTATTTTTTAGAAACTCATCCAGGAATATATAAGTAGTAATACTAATTCTGTGCTGCTATGAAATGATTTAGTATCTACAGAACATCCTAGCTACAAAAGAAATATGAAAGTCTTGACTTTAAATTTATTGAATGAGCATTTCATGAATACCTACAGATTTTATATTAAATGCTGGGAATAATACAGGAAAGACGCATCAAATGAGTTCAAAAGTTGAGGCCAATAACTAAGATGCTTTGACTGTTTACTGGGTAACAGTAGCTGTTCTAAGAACATTATATATTTAATCTCCTATGCCTCAGATGAATATATATTATGACCAGAGAGGAAGCTGTGGCCCAGAGAGTGAAAGTAATTTGCCCAAAATCACATAAAATGTGACTGGTAGACCCTTGATTTGAATCCTCACGGCATAACTCAGGAATTTATGCTTTTAACAACTATGCGTGGGACTAAAAAACCTAAAATAAGTTGTATGTTCCAGCTGGGCTATACAAGGAATTTAACAGACCTCCATCTACCTACAAACACATCAGTTGTAGAGAGTGTATAGAGTATAGAGCAGAAGGTTGAGCTACCATTTATGATGCCAGCACACTTCACATGAGTACCTGTTTGAGTCCTGGCTGCTCCACTTCTGATCCAGCTCCCTGCTAATACACTTGGAAAACCATAAGATACACATAAGGAGTCCTGGAAGGGATTCAAGGCTTGTGGCTTCAGCCTGAGCCAGCCCTGACCATTCTGATCCATTTGCATAGTGAATCAGCAACTGGAAAATCAATCTCTCTCTCTCTCTCTCTTTCTTTCTCTGTAACTCTGCCTTTCAAACAAATGTAAAAAATGAAGAAATACACAGATGAACTCACAAGAATATTTGGGAAATTGCCAATAATAGAAAATAAAAGAAAACTGAAAATTGGAATAGAAACCGTGCAAATCCCTATATCAGCTTCCCTGGCTGTAGGTGGAAGAAAGAGCAACAAGGAGAGGGGAATGAAAATTTGCTATCTTCACAAAGATTTTGGCTTGACCTTCAAGTCCCATGTAGAGATAGGACAGTAGGTCTTCAAAATAAGAGACATGAAAAATAAAAAGGGAAGGGTCAGCAAATGTAAATTTCTAGGATACAGAAACAAAAACTATACAGGTAATATTTGAAATGTGAAAATATGTAAACATTTGACAGCATGTGAAAATATGTGGTATACTTCAAACAAGATATGGCTTCCAAACTCCTACTGACATTGAAATTCCAAAGTCATAAATCAATCATTTGAATAGGATGGAAACTTAATCCAATTATGGTGTTTGGAGTGTGGGCCTAGTGGGTGGTCCTCAGGTCACTGGGAGCATACTCTTGGATGAAAATCCTCATGAGACGAATGATCAGCAAAGTCCGCCACAGGCCCAACCATTCTCTCTGAAATTTTTCCTCTGAATATATCCCCCCACTGCCATCTATCACTCTCCCTAGACATGAAGCCAAAGGGACTGCCTAACCCTGCACTAGAAGTTCCAGAACCATAAGCCAAAATAAACCTCTTCCATTCACAATCAGATCATCTCAAGTACTTCAAAGGAGAAATGAGAAGCAGACTAATACGATATTGAAAATACGGCTGGGAAATGTTAAGAATAAATGAAAAACACAAATGCTTAGATTACCAAAAAAAAAAAAAGTTTTAATCTTCAGAAAGACAGATGAAATAAATCCATCCCTAGGTGAGTCACAACAGACATCAAAAACAAAGAGAAAAAGGCAACCCAGAGAAAAATATCTAAGCTAGACAAACTACAGTGGAATTAATATTCTAGGCTTTCAAAGGCTTTCTTGTTGGCAACAAGAGAACCACAAACCAAGAGATTGATATCTTCAAAATGCTTTTTGAAAATAACTGTCAATCTAGAGTTTCACATTCCGCCAACATATTTCTCAAGAATGAGGGGAAAATAAAGACACTTTTCAGAAGAAACTGTGTTTACCACTCAGTAACTCCCACTGAAAGAGCACTAGAGGGTATACGTACAAGGATACACAAAAAAGTTCTCAAAACATTGTGCAAAAAGATTCTGAAATTGACATATATAGAGGTTATAGAAAAGTTCATGGATAATGTGTATTATGAGAAACTATGCATGAGTTTCAAAATATTTTGCACCAAAACAAACTTTTAATTTGATTTTTTCTGTGTGTTATGTGTTTTCTGAAGTACCCTGTAGCGTTGGTTCAAGAAAATTAGAGCTAGAAGAAAGGGAGGAAATTAAAAAAAAAACAGAAACCAGAAAGGTAAATTGAAACTAGCAAGTCCAAATAATAGTCATGATAATAACATCCACCACACAGAACATTAATTATATGTAACCAGAAAGACAAAATTAACTTCTGCAGTCTTTGTATTTCATTAGAGGAAAGTAGGAATATTGGGAAACTTTAAAAGCTATTATTTCATGTATGTGTATTAAAATTTTAAGGAAAGGTCAGAGTTTTGGCACCAGATTAAGCTACCAATTGCTACACTAGCATCCCTTATGGGTACCAGTTCAAGTCCTGGCTGCTCCATTTCCAGTCTGTCTTTCCACTAACATGGCTGATAAAGCAGCAAATATGACCCAAGTGTTTGGGGCCCTGATACCCACATGAAAGCTAGAAGGTCCTGATTCCTGGCTTTGGCCTGACCCAGGCTGGGTTACTGTGGAGACTGAATATTCTTGCACTGTCTCTCCTCTTCCCTTCCTGTAACTCTGCCTTTCAGACAAATAAATCAATCATTTTTAAATGGGGATGGTTGGTAAGAAAAGAAATAAATGTATAATTTTCAATACAGTAGACTGAAGCAGAGGAAATAAAGTCAACCAACTCTATAAAAATAGGACACATTTTAAAATATGCTAGAAATAAATCCAAATATGTAAGAATATATTACTATATCCAGAATAAAACATTGATTCAATCTGGCTTCAGATTGAATAAAATAAAATACAGCTTAAAGCATAAAAAGACAGAATGCCTAAAAATTATTTGGAGGAGCCTATGCTGTAGCATAGCACATAAAGTTGTCATTGGTGACGCAGCACACTATTTAAATAAGGCATCAAGTCCCAGCTGCTCCACTTCCTATCAAACTACCTGCTAATGTTCCTAGAAAGGAGCAGGGGGTGGTCCAGGACCTTGGGTCCCTGCACTACCTGGGAGACCTGGAAGAAGCTTTTGGTTCCTGGCTTCAGACTGGCCAAGCCCCAGGCATTGCAGTCACTGGGGAGTGAACCAACAGATGGAAGATATTTCTCTCTCTTTATCTCTGTTGCTGTGTGTGTGTGTGTGTGTGTGTGTGTGTGTGTGTGTCTGTGTGTGTGTGTGTGTGTGTGTGTGTAATTCTGCCCTTTGAATAAGCAAGTAAACCTTTAAAAATTATATGGAGCTGCACATTAATACCAAATAATTAGATAAGCTATATGCAAAGCTATTTTAACCTTGACCAATAGCTCATGCCTTTATATTTCTCAATAGCAAACTACCTTAAAAGAGGCAGGTTCCGGTGAGAGCACTTCCATAGAAGCATTTGAGTTTCTGCTCCCAGGACGGGTTCTTGAATTTGAGGCTGGTTTCGAAATTCCATCTAGGTTCCCCTTTATAATATCCATGGATAAACTGAAAGAAATGAAGAATTAAAAAGTAAGGTGACTTCAATGTTCATCTTTCCCATTAGGTAATGTGAACAGCCAATTATTCAGTCTTCCTTTAAGTGCTTTATTACTCCCCAAGTCACACAATTTTATGAAGGCATCCTATGTGCAGATTGTTAAATCATATATCACTGTAGGCTCAGAACACCAGATACTAAAGGAAGCCAAGAGAGTGCAGAAGTGAACAACAGCTTGGTGGCTTCCTGTGCAGCCATAATAAAACAGCAACAGTGGTCCTGGTGCTCCCTGAGCTGACACTTACCCAACCACAATCTACTTGATCTTCATGACACACAAAGGCTCCTCTGCTCTCTCCTCCTGCTTTCACCCCCCCATCACCAGCCTTGCCATCCTGGCTCAGCCTTCAGCCTGGGCTTTCTAATACTCTTTTGGTGTCACATTTTCATGGAATTCCTGTCTCCAGGGCATTGCCCTAATTTTACCAACCTTCCCTTTTTCTAAATCAACATTCTACTTTGGGCTTTTTTTTAAAAAGATTTATTTTATTGAAAAGCCAGATTTACAGAGAGAAGGAGTGACAGAGAAAGATCTTCCATCCACTGGTTCACTAACCAAGTAGCCTCAGAGGCCAGAGCTGAGGTGATCTGAAGTCAGGGGCCAGGAGCTTCTTCCTGGTTTCCCACACAGGTGCAGGGTCCCAAGGCTTTGGGCCGTCCTCTACTGCTTTCCCAGGCTACAAGCAGAGAGCTGGATGGAACGTAGACCACTCAGAACATGAACCAGTGCTGACACAGGATCCCACGCATACAAGGTGAGGATTTAGTCATACAGCCATCACGCCAGGCTCCAATACTCTATTTGTGCCCTCTGGCATAGGAGAACAAAATCTATTTCCCTTAGGAGAAGACAGAATTCCTTCATCTGATTCTCTTGGCCCATCTCTTTAGTTAGTGTTATGTGAAACCAAGGCCTTTCACCATTCCAGCTACTCTACTGACAATACTGATTTCTGAAGCCAGGAATACTGAGCAAACAGCTTAAGGTAGATGGGGAGTGCAGGCACTGCAACACATTAATCAAAACTATTGCAGATCTGTCCGGTGGTATTAGTCTAACATGCATGTTGGGTAAAAGAAGAAAACAGGGAGAATTCTAGCTAGCTTGCATTCAGAGTACATATGAATAGTATATTCCTGCAAATCCTTTTCTAAATTAAACCACTTCTCTCAAAACACAAAAAAGACAAATCTACCCACTTGCATGTGTAACATTATCTTTTTGTGTTAGCCTATAAAACGGTCGTTTTCTGTTGTTGCTATTGTTGCTGTTGTTGTTGTTTAACCTCAGAGGCAGACACCAGAGAAGCTTAGGACTTCAGCAGAGGCACACACATAAACAACCTGTAGCTCCTCCTAAGCATGGGACAAGATGGCTTGGCCTCTAACCAGTACATGTGTCAGAGCTGATGCTCAAGAGAACAGCAGGTCAACTCTTTCCATCTCCACAAACGAAAAAAGGCACTGAGCCCAGCATTATTCACCTCTGTAAAGGGCTCTGGGCTTGCTAAGAAGGCATTGACATTCTTATAGGAGAATGATGGATCACTCTAGTCTATCACATCACAACCATGAAGCACAAGTCGCCAAAGGCCAAATGTCTTGTAAATGCCCCAGCAGCCTGTCAAGGGAGAGTTATTGTAACTCTCAGAGGGAGCAAAGAGATGGATGCACGTGCAAGACGAAATAATACACTCCAACAGCCGGCAGGGCACAGGAAGCCATCCATGACACAGCTCAGCTAAAAAGTTCCACAAACCTTTCAGTTTGCTTCAGCAGCAGAGCTTTTTATTATGTGTGTCCCTAAAAATAATGCATTAAATGAAATGTAAGTCTAGACATAAGTGAGGATGTAACTACCAACTATTTCATGAATTTGGTCATGTGCAAAGAAAGGTGGCTAAAGGACACTGACATAGCCTCTTGAAGATACGTTTCAGGATTTGGTAGGAAATCTCAGTTGTCAGAGAGAAATTTCACAAGAAAAATAAAGCATGTAATAGAAAGAAAATAGACAAGCAACAAGCAATAATAGTTGCATAGGAATTGAATGTGAATTTAACCAAATATTGAGCCTTCCTTATTTGTTTTATTTTTGTGGTGGGGGCGGGCTTCATTACTACATTGAGTGTACGTGGGAAGGAGTGTGTAAAAAGAAGCGAACTGCTTAAGACACCAGGGCTGTCATAACAGAGAATCAAAGGGAATATGCCAAATTTGGTAAATCCAAACAGTTAAATAAACATAACTTGACAAGTTCAAGACGGTTGCCTCTGCAACAGGAGAACAAGGAGTCTTTTTGTTCCCCTCCATGATGCATGTTACAGTACAGTTTGGCATTGTTTACTATATTACTATAATAAGAGGAAAAACTAATTTTAAAGGTAGTAAATAAATATGAAATATTAAATTGCTAAGGGACTAGAAAGAAAAGGCAATTTTCATAATCACAGAATGAGTGACTGGTTAAGCATGCTATCAGGAGCATAAATAAAAAAAAAAGGAACAGAAAAATTTGATTGTAAAACATGTAATTATCTTGCATCTCAACCATAAAAAATAAATCTAACTTAAAACTAAAATGTACCAGAAAAGCTGGATAGAATATACGTAACACAAATATAAAAAAGATTAATAAAGTTATCTCAAGACTTCTTACTAATCAAGAGGAAAGCACAGTTCAATAGAAAACTGACTAAAAGCATAAACAATCAGTATAATATTAAAAACACAAAGAGAAAATGAGGGAAGAAAGGAAGAAGGGAGGAAAGAAAGGAGGAAAAGAGAACAGGGAAACAAAAACTGTGAATAATCTTACTTTTAAAACCTCAATTACAGGGGCTAACGTTGTATAACTAGTAAAATCACCACCCACAATGCCAGCATCCCATATAGGTCCTAGTTTGTGTCCCAGAGTTTCACTTCTGATCCATCTGCCTACTAACGACCTGGGAAAAGCGGCGGAAGATGGCCCATGCATGAGGGCCCCTGCAGCCACATGTGAGACCCACAAGAAGCTCCTGGCGCTTGGCTTCCATCTGATTCAGTACTCTTCATCTGGGGAGGGAACCACTGGAATATTAATCTCCTTCAGTCTCTGTCTCTCTCTCTCTCTAACTTTTAAAATAAATAAGTATATATTTTTTTAAAAATTTCAGTGTCTCTAACTAAAGGAATATGTAAGAAAGAGATTTGGAAAATTATTACATATTAAGGAAGAGCACTGTATTCTAAATTGGTAATTTCTCCTTGTTTTTAAGTAATGTTCTTGCTGATTTCAATTAAGCATGTCATATAACCATAAGTAAAGAACGCAATTTTTGGAAGAAGATTTCTAGAATTTACTAAAAAGTATTCAAAAATAAGCAATCACCAAACATTTCACCACTCCATGATAAGCACTACTGGTTATTTTCCATTTTTGCTGTATGTCTTTTTCAACAAAACTAGACTGATATTTCCTCCTTATGTCACCAAGACACTTTACACTTAGGCTATTATTCACTTAATTACATTTGATTAAATATATATACATATATAATCAAATTCTAAATTATAAAAACTATAACCAACACAACCAACTTTATATAACATTTGATTCAAATAAGATAAAACTTTGTCAGTTCAAGCAAGATGAAATTAAAGAGAAATGCAACAACTATGGGTAATTTAAAACCAAAACAGGGACATATAATTGCCATTAATTTGATATTTTAGATGAATAAAGCAATCCAACAAAAACGCGTATTAAATTATGTACAATAAAACTTTAAAAGTGCAATCTTCATTTTCATGAATTTTTTTTAAAGATTTATCTTACTTTTATTGGAAAGTAGGATATATAGAAAGGAGGAGAGACAAAGATCTTCCATCTGTTGATTCATTTCTCAAGTTGCTGCAATGGCTGGAGCTGAGCCAATCTGAAGCCAGGAGCCTCATCTGAGTCTCCCATACGAGTGTAGTGTTCTAAGGCTTTGGGCCGTCCTCCACTGCTTTCCCAGATCACAAGCAGGGAGCTGGATGAGAAGCAGAGCAGCCGGGATTAGAACCAGCACCCATATGGGATCTCAGCACGTGCAAGGCAAGGACTTTAGCTGTTAGGCTTCTGTCCAGGGCCCTGTTATCATAAATTCTTAAGTGTAAAAATTACAAATACAGAATCTTTACTTGTCCATAAATTTTAAAATATTCCTCATCCCAAGAACCAGTGTAATCGATTCCTATGTCATCTTTGAAGGCATATGCAAGCTTTAAATCCTTTGGGCCTTCTTACTTCTCCCTGACACACACAAACACAAACAGCATGGTACTTTGCAACTTGCTTTCTCAAATTTTATATGTTTTAGAGAATTGTCTATCCCTAGATTATTTCATGCTTTCAAATACCACCATAATATTCCATCACATAGATAAACTATTCTTTAAGTCAACTCATGTAGTTTGTATATAAAGTATTTGCTAATAAAACCAACTTTAAAACTTCAAATGGATCACAAATTGGTAAAAAAGAAAAATTATAACTATAAAATTTTTAGAAAATATATGCAACTGTAGGCTAAGCAAAGATTTATCACATGCATTACTAAAATCATAATTTATAAAAGAGACACTGACAATTTGCAATGCATCAAACTTAAGATTTGAACTCTTCAAAAGATTTCATGAAATGGAAAATAAAATCCAACGACTGTGAGAAAAAATATCTGCCAAACTTGTATCTGATTTAGACATTTCTTAAAGCCACTGAACAGTACACAAAGATGTTCAAAACCATTAGTCCTCAGAAACCTTTGAATTTAAACCACGATGACAGTGCGGCCATTTGGCTCAGCAGTGCATACACACCCCATGCAGGAGTGTCGGGTTCCAGTCCCAGCTCCTCCACTTCACATCCCACTTCCTACCAGTGTACATCCTGGACGCAGCAGGTGATGGTTCATGGACACGGGTCCCTGACATCTATTGGGGAGACCCTGAAACAGTTATAGGCTCCTGACTTCAGCCTGGCCCAGCCCTGGCTATTGCGCATTTGGGGAGTGAGCCAATAGATAAAATATGAACCCTCCATACACACCTGCCTTTCAAATAAAATTCTAAAAATAATTTTAAAACCCCAATTAAATACCTTTTCAAATACACACCTATTCGGTGAAAATTAATTTTAAAAAAAATGACATACCAAGAATTACCAAAATTAAGGAGGAACAGAAACCCTCATATACAGCTGGTGAGAACGCAAAATACATCAGCCAGGGCCTGGTGCGGTAGCCTAACAGCTAAAGTCCTAGCCTTGCATGTGCCGAGATCCCATATGGGTGGCAGTTCTAATCCCAGCAGCCACACTTCAGATTCAGCTCCCTGCCTGTAGCCTGGGATAATAGTAGAGCATAGCCCAAAACCTTGGGACCGTGCACGCATGGGAGACCTGGAAGAGGCTCCTGGCTTCGGATTGGCGCAGCTCCAGCCATTGCAGCCACATGGGCAGCAATTCAGCAGACGAAAGATCTTCCTCTGTTTATCTGACTTTCCAATAAAAATAAATAAACCATTAGAAAAAAAAATACATCAGCCACTTAGCCAAATTCCTGGTGGCTTCTTCTTAGGGTAACCGTATATTCACCATATATAGACATTCAGCCGATAAATGAAAACTTATATTCACACAAAAACTATACATGAATATGTACAGAAACATAATACTTGCCAAAATCCGTAAACTATCCAATTGTGCCCTCTATAGAATGGGTTGAGAAATCATGATGCATTCATTCAGTGGAACAGTACTCGGCAAAGTCAGAGAGCAGCCAGCCACCCATAGAATGCATAAGGCCGTGCGGCGTTCGCTCCCATCAACGTGACATTCTGGGACAAACAAGCTACTCGGACCGAAAACTGAGGGCTTTTACCACAGGTTATGCTGGGTGACTGGGGGAACGCTGTAAGCTAAGCTGTATGCCGATTTTGGTGGCAATTACACCAACACGCGGGTGCGTTTGTGAAAGCTCAAAGAACACTACACCCAAAACGCAGGGAAAACCCTGCGTTTCTTTGGCCACGGATAAAAGCTACAAGTGGCGTCTCACAAACGTGCGTGTGTGGAAGGCCCGCTTCATTCTGGCGGGTTTGGTGTAGTGTCGCTCTAAGTCTCAGCGGCGAAAGCCGGGTTCCCGAGGGTGGCTACTTTACTACAAGCTCCAGGGAAGCTCGGCAGAGCCACCCCGAAGAGAGCCTAGAAACCCGGGAACTAGGCCGGCCGGCTCCTCCTCCGCCCCTCATTGGCCCGTCCGGGGACAGGGCCCGCCCCCGCTCGGCCCGCACGGCCCTCTCATTGGCTCCGCACGCTCTCCCTCAGCGCGTCCTCGGGACACGCGCGGCGGGGAGGGGCGGGCGTCTCCGCGGCTCTCGCCTCCGGGCGGGGACCCGAGGAACGACGGTCCCTCGGCAGGATACCGCCGGACGCAGAAACGCCCAGTGACACTGGGAGCTTCACCTGTTTTCCCCACAGAGGAGGGCTCTTTCCCGCCAACGCAGCCTCGCTGGAGTCGGCAGAGGCGGCCGGTCCCAAGCCCTCCTGCGTCCGGGGACGCCGTTACCTAGGCAACCAGAAGCTCGCCGCTTCCGATCTCGCGATATGCGAGAAGAGCCGTACCATCTGGAAACGGGATGTGGGTGGGTGGGGACGGCGAGGCCGCCGCCGCAGTCTGTCAGCTGGCGTCTTCGCGACCACCGCTGGATTGGTGCTCTTGGGGTTGAACGCGGAAAGTGGGCGTCTGGCTAATTCCATGGCTGTGCCTCTTGTTATTGCGATTTCCCTCTGAACTCAGATTCTCCGCCGTAGAACAGGGGTGATGACAAGTCCCTCAGCCGGCTGCTGTGTGGCTCAGCTAGCGGGTTCAGGTGAAACCCTTGGCTCCTGAGTAGCAGTGTTAAAAAGGGTTAATTCTGCACAGGACGGGCCACAATCCAGGCATTCTTAGCGACTGCGCTTTGCACCTTCTTGTATTCGTAGTTTCTCTCATTTTCGGTGCACTGAAACCGTGTCCCTGGATTCCCAAACTGTCTTCCTCCCCATCTCGGACAGATTTCTGCTGCTTTCCAGTGCCAGGCGCGTTTTGCCGTTTCTCAACTTTTTCACATCCATGGCCCTTTGGACCTCGTGGTTTTGTGCAGGGGTTTTTCAGTGCAGCAAATAGGTCCAGGTTCAGTGATTGGCCCAAGAAACACAGCCCACAGTCCAGACCCATGGCTGCAAATGCCAGCCACGCGCTGTTGAGCCCTGCAGATCCACCCTCGAGTCCAGACTGCTTTATCTGACATGTCCATTGAAGCGTGCAGGTAGATTGACGTGTGTCGAAAGCACGCTGAACAAACTGCCCTCCCATCCTACCCCAGCCCCAGGCCATCTCAGTGGGTAGAGACTGCATCCTGCCGGACTTCACCAGAAACCTCAGAGACATCCTCAGGAATTCTTCTCAAGCTCCACCATGTGTTCTGTCAGCTTCAACTTCGAAACATAGGCAGGATCCAACCACTTCTCATGGCTTCAGCGCCTGCAAGTGCACCTTCGGGCCAGTTCTTAGCAAATTTCCTAACGGTAGTTTGTCCTTGGTTTTACAAAAGGCCTCCCTTGTCCCTTCCCAGGAATCAACAGAAAAGCCTGAATGCCTTGCCTCTGATTGTGAGTCCCTGGCGGCTCCCCTGTTGCATTGCGGAGTCCTGCGGGTGCCCCGTCCTAGTCCTATGAGAGCATGTTCTGGTACCGTTCTCACTGCTGCCCCCACCTCCACACTGTCCTCACTATGAATTTCTCCAGACACTGGCATTTTGTTAAAATCAAATGTAAAGGGAAAAAATGCTGAATGACAATTGAGGGACCAGGAAAACAAGACGTCACATTCTAATTCTCCCATGAGAATGAAATGTGTGGCTGGCATTTGCAGCCATGGGTCTGGCAGGTGACAGAAGGGTGTTCCTGGAGAGGTTCATGGATACCTCACTAAAAGCAAGACCAGGAAATTAGGACGCTGTGAGTCGGAATGTGAGGGCAATATTCTCGGGGACCAGGGCAGGAGCATGGGGAGGAAGCGTAGTCAAAATCAGATCTATCCTAGGTGTAGGAGTGTATTGTTGTTAGGTGCTTGTTCCCTGTCCTGTCTGCCACTGGTTCCTTGAAAAGAAATATTAATACGTTGATCATCATTGTATACTTCATGCGACTTATAAGAGCACTGTCTCCAACGTTAAAAAATTTTGGAAGTAATAATGTCCTTGAATTGCTATTTCCAACCTGTGATGCTGTGTGGCGCTGCTCAACCTTGCTGGTAGAGTTCTGTGTTACTGATGCTCTAGCGTTAATGGGAAGTCAGGAGACTGGGAGCAGACTGCACCCACACTTGCTAAAGGTCAAACCACAGAATGTTCCAGTGGGCTTACATAAACAAAGCAAGTCACTATCCTCCTTGCCTTCAACACGATTCAGCTGGGACTAATGAACTCACCAATCAGAGTGGACTTGCAAGTTAGAATTTCTGCCCAGCCAATTAACTGCCTTTGAAAACAAGTCTGTGGAAATCCCCTTATATCTAAAAAAAAAAAAATTAAAAATAAAAAATCTCCTGCCTGGTAGGATGCTATTCAGCCCTACCCATTTACAAGGGTTTGTCTTCCAGATAAATGCTATTTTCTTTGATGTGTATGTCTATCTTAGCTTATAGCAACCAATAATGTTTTCTGCGTTTCCCAGTGTTTGCATTTTGCTGTGGGATACAGTTCTTATAAGCACTTCTATAGTGGCTCTAACTTTTCAAACAAATGTTCAGTTCTAATAACAAAAATGTTAAGAATGTTGGGAAGTGTTTTAAGAATAGCTTAAGTTTCTGGGGCTAGTACAGTGACATAACAGGCTAATCCTCCAGCTGTGGTGCCAGCATCCCATATGTGTGCCAGTTCATATCCTGGCTGCTCCACTTCCCATCCAGCTTCCAGCTTGTAGCCGGGGAAGGCAGCAGAGGTTCACCCTATACTTTGGGACCCTGCACCTATGTGGGAGACCCAAAAGAAATCTTTTATTTAAAAAAAGAATAACTTAAGTGTCAGGAATGCCTAGCAATACTGACTTCCTCTTTCTATATCCAAAGATCAGGAAATGTTACTTCATGTTTGTTGTTCTGCCAATGCAAGCAATGAGACACGCACACCACCCCACCCTACCCCCAGCTGGCTTCTCTATCAGAAACCCAGCTACCCCTATACCTCCAGCTCAGTCTTTTGCCAGGAGCCCTTCCTAACCACCCTGAACAAAATGATCATCCCCTTCTTCTTCATACTCCCTACCCTCTGTTCCCTCAATCTTTATTTTTTATAAGGAGGAGAAACGCCGTTAATTGGATTCTGGTACTAAATAGCTGAACGACGACATTTCCGTGGGCCATGAATTCCTCATTTGAAAAATGAAGTGGAATTGGTTTTTTCCCTAAAAATATGATTTATTCATTTATTTAATTAAAAGTGTTAGCGCTACAGAGAAAGGGAGAGACAGTTGGAGAGAAGAGAGCCTCCATACACTGCTTCACTCCCCTAGAATGGCCAGAATGTCTTGGGTGGAACCTGTAGAATGCCATAGTGTTGCAGTTCACTAAGCCAGAAATGAATTTACTTCCAGCCCAGTACATGCACAGTATTGTCCATAGCCTTTGCCTCCCTATGCTAAATGGCACCTGATTCGGCTTTAGGGAGCAGACTGGGCTGTGAAATCCACCCTGTTCCTGCATTACCCATCTGGGACCTGCCACTCTGTCTCTGCTCCTGGTCAAACCAAACAGACAAGCAGGATGAACAGTTCTTTGTCTGGGTTCACCTCCTGAGCTCCTGGTGAACGCCCTTTCCCACCTTGTTGCTGGTGGAGTTCAGATCACCACTCACTGATTGCAGCTGGAGTATCGGTCACTGCAACACCACACCATTGTGTCTGCTGCTTTCCTGTGTCTGTCAGTCTCCAGACGCCCTTCTGCTGTCGTTCTGTCCTCTCCTCTTTCCTGGAATGTGCCCTCTCTGCTTCACACTGGCTAATGTTTCTCTGTTTAAACATGTCCTTACCCTATTCTACCATTTTGATTCTCTAGAATGGCCAGAATATTCAGGGCTGACTCAGGTCAAAGCCAGGAACTTCGTCTAGATCTTCTCCATGATGGCAGGGGCCCAAAGACTTGGGCCATCTTCTGCTCCCAGGCCATTAGCAGCGAGCTGGATCAGCAGTGGCGCAGCCAGGACCCCACCAGGCACCCATATGGGTGCAGGCATTTCAGGAAGTGGATTTACCTCCTGTGCCACCACTCCACCCTTGGAGCTGTTTTTTTGACTCTTAATTCCACTGCGCATTAGACTCACTCTGAGTACTGATCCCAGGTCTGTGTCTGAGATCAACTGAATCTCAAGCTGTAGTCCAGGGGCTTCTCAGACATTTACATGCAGACACATCACCTGGGGAGTTCATTTAAACTGCTGGTTTTCAGCGTCAGGTGGGCCCAAAGACTCTACCTGGCTCCCAGGCAATGACAGGTCTCCTGCTCCAGCAGCCTCTCTCTGAGCAGCCGTGGACTGAGTCATCTCCAAGAGCCCATCCAGGCCTCAGATGCTACAAGCAAAGACCATTTTTTTCCAGCTTTCAAGCTTTGGTGCAAAATGGTGGCCATTAAGACAATAGCACATTCCAGATTTCTTGGAGATACAAGGAATAGAGAACTAAGGAAGAAGAGAGATTTGGTAGGTGTTTTGTTAACTCTTGCTTTCAAGAGTTATATGCAATAGAAAATACATACAGGGAGTCCAGGTAAGTCTGAGCAGTGGCACAGCATGGGAGTCTGGGTCCCCCAGCCATGTAGCTATGGTTGGGGATACCCATGCCAGCCCAGGCTTCCTGCTAGGGAACCTAGCTCCCATGCAATGCTGCTAGGCAGGGGGAGGGTCCTGAGCCTTTTGGCGGCCAGTACACCAAGTGGCACCAGACTCTGCCTGCTGGCCACCAGGCAGTGAACTCTGGGGTTTTGAGGTTATGGAATTACTGCCTTGAGACATCCATGGATAAGGCCACAGTGTTTGTAGGCAAGGAATGAATTCTGAGGGACATCCAATGACAGGGCTACTGTACTTGAAGGTAAGCCAGGGGACTGAGACCTGGTGGTTTGGAGGGGAGAGACCTGAGGCTCTTTATGGGTCAGACTGATGCACCAGCCCACATAAAAATCCTGGGTTGGGCTTGTT